AAAAACAAGAAAGGGAAAAAAAAAAGAGGCGTTGGCCACAAAGGTGCTGATGCATGTGGGCATGAAGGGGGCGAGGTGCACACGACATCATGACAGAGATGCAGATAAGGAGACGCATCCGCTCATGCAGAAGTAGGGGGCATTTAGCAGGCACCAGGCTGCCTTAATTGCCCTCTCAGCGGAGGGCAACAGACAGGTAGCATCTGGGCCCTTAAGTGAAATGATTCAGAATAATTCAGCATGTCAGGAAGCACATGGCCATCCCCTTAAAGCTGGGGCTGTCTAAATGAACTGGAGGGCCGGGCAGTGAAGTCATAAATGTGCTGAAGTTGATGGTCGATGCGAGGACAGGATGGGTTGGGCTTTGGGAAACGGTGACTTGTTTCTGGCGCTCCTCGCAGTTTTATGGTTGGAGAATGAGTTGTTTAGTGTGTGTATGTGTGAAAGTGAGTGTGAGAGGAGAGTGGGTGTGCACTGCAAAAGGCTTTTGGTGAAGAAAATGGGGCAGAAAATCACTGGGACTTGTTGCAGAGGCATTTTATTGGAGCAGAATGAGCGTTTTTCCAAGAAAAGCAGACCCGCAGCCGTTGAAAACACAGCTGTTTGATTAGTCTATTGATCCACTGCTCAAAACAAATGTGTGTAGTTACTCCTCTGATATCTAGAAATGAATGTTTGCAAAGTAATGACTACATATTTACCTTATTTATTAGCTGAAGTGAAAGTGACATCGGCACAGCCTTCATTCACCTCATTCACCATATTTTTGTTTTTCAGGAAGCGTCAGGAGGTTGCAGTGGGTATTTTCAACGTGAGGGCCATTCAATTAGTTCCAGATGAACTGGGATCACAAAAACTAGGGATTTTAAGGACACTGGTAGGATTGTCTCAATAATTCATTTTGCTGAATGGCAGTAATCCCATTATCTCTACTACATTTCAGAACGATATATATATTTACCAGAGCAGAAAGCACACCCGTTAACCTGCAATAACTGACGTTTTGGCCAATATCATTACCTTTTAAATGAGGAAAACAGACGCATCCAACAGTTACGGAGCAACATTGTCATTCACTTGGAGTCATGTTTCTGGCCACCTGATGTTCACCCTCTTTTACTTCTGTTTTTGGTCTCCTAAACCAACTCCTGAAGGAAATATATGTGGATCTTTATCTGCTAAATGCTTCACCAGCTAGCCACGAGCTGTGTCTGTGTGCTGTTTGGTGCCGAGCAAGTTGTGTACAAAGGTTCTTTAAAGCTTTTTCACTGAAAACTGCTGTGGCCGAAAAGTGTGGTGAGGGTAAACTAAAACAGTCAATTTAAGCTAAACAATGAGCTGAAACTCACTATAAAACTCTGTAAAGCCGAAGGGGAGCTGCAAATTGTAGGTCACTACGAGCGACCCATTGTTTTTTTATAAAGGAAGATTTATATTATTATGAATTATCCTGATAATTATCAGTCCATAATAATAACAATTAGTTTTGAATTATTATGTAAAATTATAGGTTTTATGCTCCATGAAAGCTAAACAGTTTGTTTGTGAAGTTTTTTGATACTTTACTAGAAAACATAAATTAACATTTGAAGAGTCACAGCTGTTGTTTGTTGTTGTTAACAATAGTGAGTGTTAGATTTGCTTAAATTAGACCTATAGAATAATCAAGCATCCATCTTAGCCTTTCTTGCCATCAGGTGAACATTATGAGCTTTTTTTAAAACTACAAACATGTGAGATTATTAGTTATTTAATCTGTATTGACCATGAGAAACAGCTAATTATCAGTTATTATTATTATCGGCTGAGAAAGAATCCATATCATGCATCACTATTTTTTATGATTCAACTTGTACATAAAGACAAGATTTCAAATAGAAATGTAGTATTTTTTGACAAAACCTAGTGGCTGAGCATCTTAGCAACTTAGATCATTTAGCTAGTGAATTATCTTTTAACTTTAACTTGAAGGAATAAGACTGGGTGCCTCTCACTGTTTGTAATGTGAGTCGAACCATTTCCTGATTTCCAAACGTTCCCTCAATCAACATAATCTCAACCCTCTCGCGCTCACTGTATTATCCTAATGTGGTTTAGTAAAACATCATTGTGAAACAATAAGTGTGCTTGTCTTCAGCGATGAACACTTATTCTAATTTTACTAAGAGCTTTTCTATAACTAACCATATGGTACTGACTATACGGTTCCTTAAAAACAGATTTCTCTCTCTCATCTAAATCCTGCTGCAACTGATACAAAAACATCCATTTAAAGACGTTACAACTGAGGCAGGTGAGATTCAGAGGGCGGGGGTTTATTGTCTGAAGGACCGTGTTTAGTGCGTGTTTACCAGATTTTTTTATCTAAACCGCATATACTGTATGAGTCAAAGTTCACTTCATTATCACCGTCTTCATGCTCCAAACAGCGTCAGTTGATCAAACACTATGACGAGGACAAACAAAGCCATTAAAGCTAATGGTTGATAAAAGTAATGACCCTACCGGACATGAATGTGAGCACTTTTTACCGGTGAATTTTTATGTGCAATTATAAATTATAAAAACAAAAACACAAACTCAAACGCGTAAAATACATTCACATGCCAGAAATATCTTCATGACTAAATGTTTAGTTAAGACTCCGTTAAACAAGCTTAAAATGTACATCTTAAACAGGTAAAGTACCTAATTAATTATTTAACACAACACAACTAAAAGAAAGGAGAATATTTGCAAGATAATGACAGTTTTTGTTGAAACAAATAAATCAAACATAATTGTGTTGTTCTTATGGGGATGATTAATTAATGTCTGAATTAGTATGAACGGAACATTTTAGTGTGATGTCCATTGCTCGTTAGCAACTGCAGAGTTAAAAACATGAAGTGAAAGCTAAAAATGAATGAATCATGCTAATATATATCTGTTAATCCTTTCCCCTTCAAAAAACTGGACACTGCCGTCATCTTACTGGGCCAGCAGCTGCAGGTTGCTCCTCCCGCTGGAGTTTGTGAGTGGAACCAGCAGCACCGGGGTTTTATCAGTGCAGGAGGGGGACGCGAGGCGGGTTCGGGTGTTCATGCTGCGTTGTTCCAGAGACAGAGCTTCCTGTTTTCTGGAAAGATCCTGCAACATGCGGCTGTGATGGAGCTTCATCTTCTGCAGGGAGTGCCTGAGAGTGAGTATAGGACGGGAGCGGGTATTAAAGGTTTAAAGAGATTTCTTTACTTTCTGGTATTTAAAACACTCCTAACTATTATTTGTTCATTTTAACTGTAGGCCTGTAACCTCTATTTTGGATTATTTTTGATTTTTACTTCTGTGGCTTCTTATTGCTTTAATTTGCTGGGTTTAAAACATCATTATGTAAATATATAAAACGTTCCTGAATGACCTTTGTAGATATATTTTTAACACTCCATAATGACTGAATGTTCCTGTTTGAATGTGATGTTTGACTTCCGTGTGTGTGCAAATAAATACAATAAAGTAATAAAATAAATACAATAAACTATTAGCTCTACTTGATGATCATAGTAGCCAAACTGTGACTCACTGAGCCTCAGAAAGCTTCTGTTTCAGAGCCGTGGTTGTGGCCTCCAGCTGATGGACTTCATCTACGAGGCCGTGCTGCACCTGCAAACAAACAGGAAGCAACAGATCAAACAGGACGAAGCCTCTTAAGGAGCCTTTCAAAACATAATAATAATATTCTGTGTTCGATGTATGTGCTTTATTTAAACCTCGTCTCTGCACAGGTCCATCCCAGGTCTGTTGGTCCTGTTCTCTAGGCGGGTGTGAGCTAGTTTCAGGGAGGCTGTTTTCGCCTGCAGATCTGCATCCAGCCCGTGGATGTCACTCTCCATTTCTGCCATTTCATCTTCAGTCTACAGACAGATGGACAAACAGTCAGACACACTTCACTATAAACAATAAACACTTAGCTACTAGGAGGATGGCTGGATGTAAACTGCTGTAACCCCTGCATGCTTGAGCTCAAATCCACAAACCATAAACCACAAAAACCTTCTATTACAAGTTATTGGATATCTTACATTTTTTATTTGCCACTCCAGCTCGTCGCGGGCCTGCTCTTCATGGTGATTACGCTTACGGAGAGCAAACTCTGTGGCCCTGCGCTGAGTGTCCAACTCATTCTGCAGCTAAGAAATAGAGAATAGAGAAAGAAATTATTGCGAATGCACCATATCTTTAGAAAATGAGAACAAGATTGATGCACAACATTCCCAGACTAGTGACAGTGGTTCCCAAACACTTTTTTTAAGGGACCCCTTTTCTATCAGTTAGTAAACTGATGACCCGTTTCAGTGACATATTTTATGGATGTTTCATATTATGTTAAAAACTGTACACTTAACCCAAATAGTGAACTCAGTAACTGAAATAAGTTTGATTTCCTCTTTAGGGAACTTTTAATACAATTATTTGTCTGTATTATGTATTTTTTAAAATAAAAGACCTAACAGGCTTCTTTTTTTTGACAAATTCAGTGTTTTCTTGTCACTGATGCTTGGTCATTGTTCTATTGGACAATTTACATTTACATTACTTCATATAAGTGAGTCAACTGTGGATATTTTAAAAGTTGTCTTCCATCCCTCAAAATCAAGAAGACCTTGTGACACCCCCCACGAAGCTCTGGCGACCCCTAGTGGAGGTCCAGACCACAGGTTGGGAAACCACTGCTTTAAGATCCCCTGCTTTAATGCGTTTCATTCGGTCCTGAGCTAAAGTAACTTACCTGCACCGTACGTGCCTTTTATTGCACTACAAATACTACACATGCAGGTAGTTACATCAAACACACCTGGGCTCTGGTGAGACTCATATCCTCTCTCATTTGCTGGGACACCTGCATGGCCTCCTGGGCTCGAGCCACATTATACTGGCTGAACTGGACCCACTCCTGGGGGGTGGAGGAACTACAACAAAGACGACATTTGTGCATTTTACTTAATGAGGCAGGAGTTAACCAGGAAAGCTGAAACAAGCATTATTTTACTGTATTCTGCTAAGTCAAAATCCCATAAATGTTTTTTGAGCTTAAGCAAAATAATTCAAACTTAGATGTAAAATGTTGTAAACCCTGAAGGTATGCGAGTTGGATTGGTCTTCAGGGAGATCTGAGGGGACGTTATTGTAAGCGAGAGACAGGACATGTCAATGTCCAGGGCGTCCATCTTGTTCTGGAGGTCGGCGGTCAGCTGGTGTCGAGCCTCCTGCAAAACACTGGGAGCAAAAACAAAGAAAGGCGGTCAAACAAAAAGCAAAAACAGAAAATGCATCACACCATAGCGTTCCTTACCACAGCTGCTCAAAGGCCTTGTCTATGTGCTGCTGCAGATCTTGCTGCACTCTTTCAATCAGCTCCACTTCGGTTTTCAGCTGCTCGTGTACGGGGTCGAAGACAAGCTCGTACCCTCGCCGTCCGTCCCTCAGTGTCAAGCACTCGCTGCTGACCTCAAGGGGAACGGCAGTCGCAGCCAGGGCCTGCTCGGTTTGCTCTTTAGACTGTCCCAACACACATCAAGGTAAAGTCACACAGGTATAAAAGTATAAAGCCTTAAATAAATGCTGTTTTAAGACAAGCTCTCAGTTGTTTTAGAGGTTTTTGGACAAATCACCAGGGTCAGAGCCTCCATCTCTTCATCCACTTTCAGCGCACAGGTTTCTAACGCCTCTTTCCAACGGGCAACATCCCAAATCCGGTCACTCAACCTGCGAGAGGTGTCGCTTTCATCCCAGGTTGTCTGCAGAGAAAAGGTGCAAGAAAATAAAAATGGGAGGCTGTTATGAAATATTTTTCATCCTGCAGAATGTGACAGATGTGTTTAGCTTTCTGGTAGACTCCCTCGCAAACAAGAACCCACCTTACAGTTGGTCTCGTTGCGTAGTGACCTCCCTTCCTGCCGAACCACATTAGAAACATATCGCTCGTGTTGTGCCGTGGCAGACAGCTGGTGGTTGTTGGTGTGCCACTCTGACACACTGTGGCGCAGGCCGGGCTTTGCAGGAAGTGCAGACATCCTTCTGTTGCAGTCAATAAATAACCCAATCACTGTATTTGCCAAGTACAGTTAAATGTGTAGAGTGACACTCTCGCAGAAGCATATTGATACCGCTGAGCTTCACAGTAAACACAGACAGAGCCAACAGAGCTACTAAATACAGCACTGAGAGATGATGAAGCACAATCCGCATTGGTAGCCAATATCCGTTTAACACACACCTGCTTTCAAATATTACTAATAACTAAGTTTCCTAAATCATAATGCTCCTTTAAAGAGAGGAAAGAGTTTATTTTGAACCTAGACAGTAAAACTGAGATCACATAATTTCCTCTGCAGTCTGAATCACCCGAAACAACCTAAGCTGATGTATGAGGTTATATATATTATGAGTGAGATTCTATCACTACAGTTCATATAATATTTTAGATTCTATTATTTGGTGCACTATTTGGTGACTACAGACAAAGCCACTGACTCAAAATGCATACATTAGTTAAAACTCTACTGTGTAATGAGTAGTTATACTTAGTCGCTACCACCTGGGCTTCTTCACTGTATTATTGAACATAATAATTTAATATTGTATAACAATACCATTTTTAAGTGACTAAAAGGTGAGTGTTGCGTTACCATTGCATGTAGTTTATGTATATTTAACCAAGCATAAGTTTGAATGCAGCATTAATTTGATGTCTGCTAGCAGGACGCTGGTGGCGAAGGAAATGGAACTTATGACATATAACAGTTATATTAACATGAGGGGAGGCTCTTTGAAGCAATGGGGACAAGCGAACCAGTAAGACCAGCAACTAAAACTGATACTTAAAAAAAACAGGATGAATTAGAGTTTTAAGAACAAAAAAAATTAGAAACACTGTCATTAAATAGCTTTTTTGACTTCTACGACCAGGCTCTTTCTCTGACAAGGCCATAAAGTGTAGCTACGGTTACTCCCACAAACACGAAGCCTCTCATATTAGTTATTGTTGCCGTTAACAAAGCTCCAAATCTCAAATACCGCGACATTTAACACAAAAAAAAAAAAAGATCTCATTCCAAAGTTCTTTCTCGTTGAATTTTACTCACCGGAATTCTAGAACGTTCAGATAGTCGGCGCGTGCTGGTTTCCTATAGCAACAACTACTCGAGCCGTCTCCAGGCAACGGGCCTGACACAACGTTCCACTGAAACTATTTTTAATAATTAAAATAGCAGCTTGGCAACGTTCGTGACGTTTAATTGTCGGTTCGGATCCTGTGACATCATCAGCCAACGGGGGACTTTAAGAAGGTTGAACAACCTCGTGTTAAAAGTTACTTTAAAAACCGACAAACATTTCCTTCATATTTAACAAACGAGGTAAATATATTTGAACAGAAAATAAAAATAGCTTCATTTGACCTCCAAGCTTGCTGCTCAAGGGCAACTTTGAAAAGCACAAAAATGTCTGTGATAAACAGCACTCAGGTATAAACACTTCTGTTTTATTGTAGTATCAGAATTAGTCATGCCAGTGGTTATATTTCCATGCTGTGGTGACTTTCAGTGTAGACAAAAACTGGTTAGTTACAACTATCATCACTCGCATTAACTACCCTCAGCACATTCCTGACCGTGGTTGTTTTGTGGTCTTCTGTCAGCAGCGATGGTTCCCAAAAGTTTTAAAGATTAAGGGAATATTGCAAAAAAAAAGAAAAAAAAAAAAAGAAGCCACCTCAGGTGTTCACCTAAATGCAGCAGGACTAGGGGGCCGTACAGAGGCCGGTCTCAAACAAGACCTCTCATGACTGAACCTCTATTTCAGTGCATCACACCAGTGACCTATTAAGCAGATATACAAACAAACTATATTTTAATGCCCGTTAAAAATGATTCAAAATCATCTTCATACTCTTATCTGTACATTGCACCTAATGGGGACACAACAGAGCTCTAAACTCCATAATGTAAAGACTTCATTGAGTTTGGGAACCACTTGCCAGTGCACTATCCCAATTACCTGAGCTATGTTAACACCTAGATTCTCCAACAGGCTTCTATTAAGGCTTTGCACTAAAAATAAAACCTCCATGCCTGTGCTATCAAAGCTGCTTTTTTACGTTGACTGTCAGAAAAAAGTATTAGTTTACTGATACTGGACTGTGTTTATAAAGTTTGTGAGCTCTGCCCGGTGCTTGGAGTGTCAGTGTAAAGAGGCAAACATTTCAGAACGTTGCCCCAAATTGCACACAAATCAACTAAAAATACCCACGATCCACATCTGTAAAACAATCCTTTGTAGCAGTGATGGGCATGCTCAAAATATTTGATCTGCCCATTATTTGTTTGTTACTGGAGAAAGAGTGAATTCAGAGATCAGCTTTTCTTTTATGTGTACACATTCCTTAAAGACTAATAAATTAAAAAGTAAATGGGAACTATCATTCATGTCACATTTAGTAGTTTCAAACATAGCGAATGTCGACATAAAATAAAAATAAAATTAAAAAGGAACAAGTTTGCGGTAGAAAGGTGAAATCAGAGTAAATTTTCAGTGGCAGGTTCATAATTTAAAGTAAAAAGAAAGTTTGGTGCAAGCGTGGCGGTGCTGTGCAGAGGTCGTTTTCCTTGAAGCAGAGGTGAGAGGTTCAGTTAGCTACACAGTTAACGGATTTCAGAGCGTTCAGCCTTCGAACAGCTGGAGGTGGAGGAGGGGTTTTCACTTTGTAGTCCCTCAGGGTTTATCTTCGAGCCCAGCACGTGTTTTTGTGGTCCAATTTCAGATGGAAATTGTCTCGCACTGTTATTCCTTTCCTGGTATTGTTCAGGTGGGTGGGAGGATGCGACATTGTGTTTGTGATGTTACATGTGTCCACAAGTCCACAATCACTGTGGTGTTGCATCCCCATTGACTTCTACGCCGTGCTGCTGTAGCTGTGCTCGAAGCAGTGCATTATCGTTCTTCAGTTCCTCAATCTAGAAAAATAAAAGATAATTAGACACTGAAAAATACATATAAAAAGACAACAACAGTAGTAAACACGTCATTGTGTGTCTATGTAACAATGTCATAATGACACATTGGGGTAATAACAGTATACTGGCACATTGTATTTTCCTATGTTTTCCACGATTATTTGAGTTATACAGTGTACAAGTCATTTTTGTGACTTACTGTAAAACTTCTAATAATAGCCCGGGCATTTATTTGCTTAAAATCAGGCATTTATACCTTTAGCATAAAACTCTTGCTCAGCTAAGATGGAAATACTCTCTAACTGTGCTGCTTCTCTTGAGTTTTGTTCAGCAAATTTGACAACTAACAGGTAACTTAAATAATTTTCAGGCTGTACTTTTTCCTCTGTGCCTCCGCCACGACACTTGAACGTGAACGTCGTTTTACGGCAGCTGAAGATTTACAGCAGCCAGCATACAGACAGTGAGCACAGTACTTTGGTCATAGTTTCCGTAAAATGAACTGAAGGATTGAATTGTGGAGAATCTAACTGATCTAACGATGTGCAGCATCCATATTGACAAAAGTTGAAACATTTGTATATGTGTAGGCGATCTAAACGGCTTAAAACTCGCTCAAGTGGGCGACCCGGTGGGTTTTAAGAGGTTTTATACATCGAGATAATTTCTATAATATCCACAATAGGCTTGTAAAGGAGACCTGCCTCTATTTGGGACCCTGCTTTTAATGGAAGTTTTGGAGTAAGTAACTGAAATATGAATCTGCGATGTATCCTAACACGTAACTTAAAAGCATCACAAGAAGTCAGTTAAGCAAATCAGTTGCAGTGCAGTATCGAGCTAAAATTAGCTGAGGTTAGCCAACGTTCATAGCATTTAAAAGAAGACTTTGCTAATGCTTCATCCAAATGTAACACAAGCTTGCTTTAAGATCTTTAGTTATTGGTTATTTTATGTTGGATTTGAACGGGTTGTTACCTGCCGAGATGTTTTCTCTACTTATACGACAAATAACATCGACAACCTTATGCTCACATGCCATCTCAAGAGTTTTGTTTCTATCACACAAAATAGAAGGTTAGACATGCACATTCAACTGCACTCAAGGCTTCACAGGTTTAAATGGGAAGTTAACCTGTTGTCTAAGCAGCTCGTTGTCCATCTCGACCCGCTCCACCTCTTTGTAACTCTCCTGCAGTCGCTGGTTACTCTGCCGCAGCTCTCGGATGTAGTCGCAGGCTTTGGACAAGATGCCGCCTTTACTCTGAGAAATGACAGCACATTGAGCTATTAAAAGACCAAATACTTTCTTACAAATACTACTTAATAGAAACTCGTTACGACCGAGACTACGAGTCCTCAGCCTGTGGTTACAAAAAAGTTTCGGTCTGACTGTCAGCGTCAGTTATGCAAGAAGCAAGCATTAGGTGGCAAGACAGAGAGTGCACCGATTCAAGTACGGAAGAGGTCATGTTTATAAGGGCTGGATGCTTAAACATGTATACATTTACAGCCGTGTGACCTAAAAAAAACCCTGATAGATTTAGACAAATTTGTGTTTTTACTGTTCAGCCATCTGACACCATTTTACACACTTATAATACTATAATAATATTATTTTGAAGGCAGCACTCACCGCTCCAGTTCTGCTGTCTACACTGCAGTCGGGGATGATTTTTGAAAGTGTGACAATCCAGTTGTTAATCTTGTCTCTTCTTCTTCTCTCCACTGCAAAGAAAGACATTTTTTGAATTTTCTAACCACCAAGCTGCAGTTCGTATATTTAGTTTTTTTTTTTTTTCAAACAGGAAACTCTCTAAGTTCCCTTCATACTAAAAACTTTCAGGACCTATATGTACACACACACACGTCAACATATGACTACAAAGACAATAGTTTCAAACACTCCTGACAGCGATGACCACATACCTTCATTGTGCTGTGCTCTTCGCCTCTCATCTCTAGGCGCCCGTGGACCCTCCACCTTCCTGTAAAGACACAGCAAAACAACATTTAACATTGAAATTATGAATAAAATGTCAGATTTTCAACATTACACA